TCAGAGCCTTGGGTAACAATCTAATGATTCAACAACTGTTATATGAGCGTATCGGTTGTAGAATCAACAATTGGTATCAGAGCAGGTTCTTTAACCAATAGATTGGTAGAACCATTATTTTTTTAGTAGGCATTTTGGGTTTGAAAACTCTTAGAGATATTTGTTGTGGTAGTATTATTGTTGGATCTCCTAAGAAATAAAATAATAAAAATCTGATTTAAAAAATGATACAAACTTCTCCCCTGCTATGAAACTTACAAATCTCACTGATTTTGTTGATGAACCCATGTGTTCTAAATTTGAACTGCCACATCTCCCTATTGATTCTGATAATGATTCTGTGATATCTAAATCTAGTGAATTGACAATTCCTTATAATGAAGCCCGTTCTGTGAAAAAGTGGGAGGTAGCTTATAAGAGGCTCTAGGTGAAGTATTTGAAAAGCATATTAAAGATAAAAAGAAAAATAAAAAATCAAGTGCTAAACTTGAAATTGTAAAAGAAGAGTGTTATGGACTTTAAAAATTAAAACATTAAGGAAGTTGCTGAAACACTCAAGGCTAATTGAACTTTTTTTTTTTTTTTTTTTGATAAGTAAGAATAATTTTATAAAAGCGCTCAAAAGGGGAGCGAAACCTTGAAAATATACACAAGGCCACAAAGGACCTTTAGGCCTTCAAAAAAAAAAAAAATCCCACAAAGGAGCTAATTGAACTTGAAAGTGATTCCCTTAAGATTGATTTAGAAAAGTCTTAAACTGAAAATAAATCCCTCAAAGATAAGGTTAAATCTATAGAAATTGAAAAAGAGTACTTTATGAAAATGAATTTTTGATCAGAATTAATATTAAAAATTCTCTTTGAGATTAAATCTAAAAAGCTTGAGTATGAACTGCAAAAATCAAAAGAGACCATTCAAAACTTCACAAGGGGCCCAAAAAAATTGCAGAAACTCTTGAGGATGAACAAATATGTTGGAGATAAGAGTGGTTTGAGATTGTTGGTACTTCTATCACACACTCTACCTCTAACACTAAATTCATTAAAGAGAAAGAAATCCCTGAACCTATTGATCCTGCTAAACAAATTAAAACTTGTCACTATTGTGGTAAAAAGGTATATATCAGTGTCATGAGCCTTTTAATGATCTTTCTAGGAAGAAAAATTCACAGTCGTTCAAGAAAGAAAAAAACCTACAAAAAGAGATGAGAGACTTGGTGAAAAATTATTATGTAGTGAAATTATGAAGCTAAATAAATTTAAAAGCCTTAATAAGGGTTCACACACTCAAAAATGATATAAATGTAACTTCTTCTAAAAATTCAATATTATGGTTCAATCTAGGGCGAGATATCAAAAAACTGTTGAAGTCCGAAATTGTCAACCTACCTCCAAAATCAAACTCACCTTTAAGAATGGTGAATAAAAGGTTGGAATTAAATGCTATGTGGTGAGAAAAGAGGTTTTATTTTTCTCAGAAGGAAAAGCTTCTTTGCTGTCAAATTTGATCTTTTCCTCTTCTTTCATTATTAAATATAATTTTTTTATCATGACATGTAAAGGATCCGAATGTGCAATTTGGATTTGAGTCGAGCACATATTCGATGCCCATACCTATGTCATATCATGTGGACACGGGTATGTTTAGAAGAATAGCAAAGTCCCTGTAACACAAGTTGCTAGGTAAGTTCTTTACGTATTTTCTATTTGGGGATTTTTCAGAATTGAATTTTATGGAAACACCATATAGGATCAGTGGTTGTGGTTTTTTTTTTGATAAGTAAGAATGCATTGAAAGCGTTCAAAAGGGGAACGCATCCCAAGAGAACAAACACAGGGCCAAAACAACCCTTTAAGCCTTCAAAGAGGCCAAGAAAACAACAATATCCTCAGAAGATCTAAAATCTCTACCCGAAACACAACAAAAAAGAGTGGAAAGAATAGAGAACTTAAGAAAAGAAATAGGCCTCTCCTTTCCCTCAAAATATCTTTTATTCCTCTCCAGCCAGATGCACCACCACACACAAAGAAGCGTAGCCCTCCAAGCATCACGAGCATGGGCCCCTACAAAGAACCCTCTCCAAGCCTCAACCATCTGTCTAGAGGAGCGAGGCATAACCCAATAGAACCCAAACAAACAAAGCATCAAGTCCCAACATTCCTTAGCCACGGGGCAATGAAGAAGAAGATGATCCACTGTCTCATGGGGCAGTGGTTATGGTTTAAAAGTTGGAAAATGAACTTAATGGGTGGAAGAGGCAATATTCTGAGAGATGTAGTGAATGAATTTAAATATCATCTAGGAAGCACAGACATGCCAAAATGGGCGAAGAATCCGTGTCCGACACGTGTTAGACACGCCCCAACACATGTCGGACACACCAAAAAACCTGTCTGGAATTTTTAATTTTTTTTAAATTTTTGGACACGGCTCAGACACGGCATGGACACTCCTCGGACACAGCACGGACACTCTGCGTGTCTGGAATTTTTTTTTTTTTTTGAATGCTGATATGTTCTGTTTTTTGTTTTGTACTACTCTTTTAGTATTGTAAGTGGTAAAAGTCCTAGGTCAAATGATGGATGGGAATAGATGATAGTACATTGACTTGTTTTTGTATCTTTTTTGGGGACTAGCCTTTAGGTTTTTGTGAATCTTAAGTGCTAACAGTAAAGTCATGAATGTTAAACAGTCATGAATGTTAATAGTCTTTTCTGTCTATGCTTTTGTATTTGGAGTAAAGTTGCAATGATGATTAAATGATACTAGTTATAATTCTAATGTCTTGTTTTTTATTTGGTTTTATAACTCTGCAGCATTGTTCTTTTAGAGTTTATTAGTTATGAGTTATGGTTTGTGTTTTTTTTTCATTGTGAGGTTGATGAAAAATAGTAACACTCGGTAATTTTTGAAGTACTACATCATATATATATATATATATATATATATATATATATATACTATTCGCCGTGTCCCCGCCGTGTCCGTGTCCTAATTTTTTTGGATTTGCGGTGTCGCCGTGTCCGTGTCGTGTCGTCTCCGTGTCCGTGCTTCGTAGAATATCATTGAGTTGAATGGATGATTGTTTTTTCGTTTGCAAAGGAGGGGATCTGGGAGTTAGAAGTTTTAGACAATTTAACTAACCTCTATAAGGAAAGTAGCAGTTGGAGATACAAACTAGAAGCAAACACATGTGATGGCCTAGGATTTCATATTATACGGCTTAGCTTCACAGCCGGTGCGTCTGTTTCACTTTAACTTCCACAGCCGCTGCAGCAGTTCCAGTTTCTTATTATACTAGGGGTGTCGCGCATGTGGTGGCAAAACTTTGGGGTTAAGGGGAGTGGTCAGACCTTGAGGGAGGTTAAATATTAGTTTGGGTTGGGCTGTGAAACAGAGTAAGGAAGAATGCTTAAAGTTCTCCAAGTGCCTTAAATTCATCATAAAAGATGATCAAAGGATAAGGTGTTGGCTCGATATTTGGTGTGTGAATGCTCCTGAAAGGTTTCCCATTACTTTTTAAGATAGCATTAAATAATGGGCTTAAATTACAAATTATTTTCCATTTACCAAGAAAAGCAAAGTTCAGAAGTCCATAAATTAAGTTTGTAGGGGTAGGAAGAATGCCTTATGTTGGAAATCAGTGGCAGCAATAAATTGGGGATGAGATTGCCTTTTGTCTTTCGAAGTGCTTTATGGTGAGGATGGTTCCCCTCAGAACTACATATGGATTAAGGTTTCTTCAAAGGTCTCTTTTTCATTTGGACTATTGCTTTGGAAGAGAGATTGACAAAATAATTTCAGGAATAGAGACAAGATGATACTAAATCAGTGTTATATGTGTAAAAAGATGCAAAGGAGACAGCCAGTCACCTTTTGACCCATTGCACTAAATCTCTGGACTCTGGAGTATTCACTCTCTCTATTTGGTGTGCATTAGTTAATGCCTCACTCGGAATCGGAGTTGATCTTTTGTCAGAAGATGGTTTGCGCTAATAAGCAATAAAGGCAGGGTTGGAAGGCAGCGCCTTTATGCCTAATGTGGTACATTTGGAGCCTTTCTGAGTTTGAACACATACGTACTCACATTTGCATAATAGATTAAACATAATAGATAATGATTTACTGCTCTAAAGTTCATCCTGATTTGATTATCTGTAGTACTATTAGTGCCTAATGTCATCAACATGCCATTCCTTCTCTCAAACAAAATTAATTATATGTTACCCTTATCTGAAATCAAAAGTCAGTCAAGAGAAGACATATAATAAACAACAGAGGAATCCACCATATGGAAGCAAAAAGGAACGAAATGGGTGAAATTGAAAGCACTGTATGGTCAATAGGAATGCCAAGACTGATACTGAAAGAAAGTGTCTTTAACAAGACACAGTTTCCATTAATCAGCAAAAGCATTTGGATTCCCAGATTGAGATGCCGCGGAGCTGGATTTGCGTTGCCCAAGTCCAGACCAGCAAAATCCTCAAAAGAAGTGTTAACCCTGAAATCCTTGGATTTCAAATACCAAAAAGGAGAAGTTATTTGAAGCACACATCACTGGAAATTCTAAAATTCAAATCCCAAATCCAATGAGTTTCCAAACATACTCAAAATTGAAAAATGGTAACAGTAAGTTTGTGACAGGCCCAAAATAGTTAAATTTATTCTGCTACCAGAGTACAGATTTTCCAACCCAAAAGAACACACTATGTATTAGCTATGAAGATTCATTATACTAACCAAACAAAGTAGAATCATCTCATTTGAGTCATGGCAAACAACTACATATGTATAATCTTTGCAGAATTAACACACAAAATAGATAGACCCATTATCAGATTCACCAACCACCACCAATTAACATGCTTACAAAACTAGTTCGCTATTGTAAACCCTAACAAAAACAAAAATATTTATACAATGAGAGATGATGAACTTCCCCAGTGAAACATTAGAGTAAAAAATAATTCAATGTCTATAGGAAATTAAACGGAACATACCTGTGAACTTCTTCTGGATTGGGAAGGAGAATAAAGAGAGGTGGAAACACAAGAAAATGAAGACCCAATCTTAATTGCCATTGTTACCACAAATGAAAACAACCAACCAGTCCAATCTGCGTTAGAGAGTCAGAAATTGCATGTTGAGTGATTTTAAAGTTGAAGGAAAATAAAAGATACCAAAATTCGACGGAGAGTTGAGAAGTTGTGAGAAGATGGAAGAATTCGGAGATTCTGAAGTATGGTTCTCGGGAGGGGTGAGCGAAGAGAGAAAGAGTGTGTCTGTGTGTGTCAGAGAGGGCAGTTTCATACCTTATTTTGTCTGTTTTAATTGTGTGAAATTTTCCTTCTTTCTTTTATTTATTTATTTATTTTTTTTTTTTTTTTTTTTTTGACCTTTTTCTTTTCTTTACCCGAAACCAAATTAGGGCCCAAAACAACCACCATCTCTTTAGCGATATATTTAGGGCTTGTTTAGTTTGTAATTCTTAAGACTGTTTTTTATTTTTAAAAAATTTTAAATAAAAAATTATACAAAAAAATTTTACTTGAATTAATTTTTTAAAAAATAAAAAAAATCTATTTTCATAAAATTATCTTTTATTGTTCAAAACTATTTTATATTTTCTGAATTCTCAAGAACTCTTCTTAAAATTACAAACCAAACAAGCCCTAATAACTATTAAAAGGATTTTTTTTTTTTGTATAGCAAGAACTCGTAATTACAATGTAATTCGAATATTTGTAATTTTGGACGTCACTAAATTCAAACTTGAACTACCGAGGTGGTTGCAACAGGCCCTCTAACCTCACTTTAATAGTGCCTAATTTTCTTATACTTTAATTTTTAAGGAGTTAAAAACTGCAAATTATATAATCCATTATATTTAAAATAAAAAAATAATTTATAATATTTGATAATTAATAAACTTGGTAAATAAAAAATTATATTTTTGTTTAGTATAGGGGCTAAAGTGTCAAAAAAATGAAAGTATAGGGGGATTTGTCAATTTAATCCTTAAAATTATTTAAATAAAGAAAGGCCATTTTAGTAATTCCATTTATCAACTAACGGTTCCAAAAAATAAAAAAAAATAATAAATAAAGTTCAATATGGTTTGTGAATTTAACTCAAATTTTTGTCTTGGTGCATTTTAATCTTGAATAATTATTAGAGTTGCATATCTAAATCCCGGACATGGGTTTTATCAAGTTTTTTTTTTTCCTTGACAAATTAAGAAAAACTTGAATACAAGTACACCAGTTTAAAGAATGGGTTTTATCAAGTTTTTTTTTTTCCTTGACAAATTAAGAAAAACTTGAATACAAGTACACCAGTTTAAAGAACCGGACATTCTATCAATTAAGTTACTGAGTAATGAACAGATGAAATTTACCTATTTGAGACTGCAAACAATTCTTATGAGTATGAAATAGGCAACCCACCAAAAATAAATAAATAAAATTATATAATTTTTCAACGGATGAGAGTTCAAATTGTGTTAGATTTTTGTTCTGTTAATATTTTACAAAAGCTTATTATTTTCCTATTTCTTCTCAATACAAATCGAAGAGGAAGGGGGAGACACCCATAAGAAACAAATCGACCACAGATTTGAAAATTGATAACAAAATCCCAGCATACATATAGCAAAGGGGTAAAATTTGAGAGACACCCATACATACAATGACTCGAATGTCAAGACAACTTTAGAATACCTATACAAGAGCTAGAGAGTGCAGAAGAAAACATATGGAACTAATTTGACAATTAGATCACGATACATAAATAAATTACATAATTTGACCAGCTCATCTATTTGTGATCCTAAACTTGTTCAAATGTCTTGAGAACAACCCTAGTCTAAAATGGGTTTCCAGCTATTTAAATTTCTGTTCATTGGAACATTTTTTCACCAAAAAAACAAAAAACTCGAATTCAAATGCCATCCGCTCTTACTAGCATCTCTCAAATTAAAATCCCCAAATCTAGATGAGATTCGCCCTCTTCAGAAACCTGATTGTTCTACAGTAATAAGGCCATATTGATTCCACAAAATCAAGGTAGTACTCCCCAGCCCACACTTTCAGATCTTTCAACTTTCTTTTCGATAGTTCTTTGTAGTCCAAGTTCTTAATGTCCACCACAGGTTGCCAAAAACGAGCTCGTAGGTCTTCTTTGAGCTTCCCACGAGCAATATAATTGAGAGCCACTACGGAGTAGCCGGGTATGCTCTTGATTACTTTAACCGTCTGCTTGAAGCTGAAAACATAGAGTGCGCATAAGCCCCGGAACATCTTGATGTAGAGTGCCACGATGAGTGGCCCTAAAACCCACAAAGGAGTCAACTCCTTCGAAACTTCAGCTCCATATAACATGTTTACAACCATGTAAAAAGGAATGCTGCAAATACAACACAGCCAAATTAATGTAAAGCCTATACAACTGAGTACATCATCAAATTAATGTAAGATAACAACAAACCAATTGCCGAGGAAAACATCTCATGGTATCCACTTCTATCTAAATAATATAGACGATGAAATGATGGAACCACAAATGCCTAAAAATTGGGACACAGCACCACAACCATTGATATGACAGCGATCAGATACAACACCACTTGATATCTACATACAGAAGTATTCCTTAATTACAATTATCAGTAGTCAAGGTAATGATGATGATTGGAGTATCAAGTGATATTCCTTCAACATATTTTCCGCCAAGAGAGAAGTAGTAATCCATAATTTTCAGGAAATAATCAATTTCACAGACCAGAGATTTAGTAGCTACATGCTGTCAAAGTCAAACCACTTTCTGTCCATGTAAACTAATGAGTGCTCCGCTAAATGAATAGTCGATAGGAAGGAAAAAAGAGTAAATTTAATCTCAAACATCAATCAAACCACCAATCTAAGATTGCAGATGATCTCAACTGAATATAGAACGAAGTACTTCCAGAGGAAAAAGCAAAAACAGAAACCATTTTGGGTCAGGAAAGCTTGATCAAAAGCAGAGAGTAAAGTAGAACAGGAATGTGTTTGATCCATTGGACTTTACTTTTTTCCAATATATATGAAGGATTTTTTTTTTTTTTTTTTTTTTTTTAAAAGTAAACAAGAATACCTGAAACTTCAAAACAAATTGTGTGTGAGAAAGAGAAAGAGAAAGAGAGAGGTTTAAACCTTTATACTTACAATATCAATAAAGGTATCTTTACTGTTGCATCCAGACCCAGAAAATAGCACCAAACTGCCTTTAGAATCTCACCTCCTTCTGTCTTTTGTGATCCATTCTCCATTCCTGATACCGTTGGGGCTGGTTCCTCTAAAATCTCATCCGCAACTTCATTTGGTGTTTGTGTGCGCAACAATGTTAACCAATTCTTGAATAAATTTTGGATAGCCATAGATCCTGCTATTGTCCCCTCAGCTTCAGAGGCATGAGAAAGTGGAACATTCTGAACCACTGGAGACTCTTTCAAGGTCTCTTCATCTTCTCGTTCTACATAAGAAAGTTTGACAGACTTCTTGGCGGACTTTGATCCACTTGTTCTGCCTCCTGATTCATCATTTTGGGCACTGCCTTTGAAGGCAGAAATTCTCAAAGATTTTCCCTTCAGTCCTCGAACAATAGGAGCTCCTAGACTGAAACAAATTAACTGATTCAATCAAGATGTACAAAAACATAAAGGGAGACCAACTAAATAACCTGCAAAAGGCAATAATTATTCTTTGAACAGAACTCCACAGAAATATATAAATAATTTTTCACACGATACCTCAAGAAAGAAAAAATGGATGTCCCATGAAATCTAAACCTATTCATTCAGTTCTCTGTAGCATTCAAATGCACAAAACTTACCTTTGCACCAGTTATGATGTTGATTTTTATCAAGTGAATAAGTATAATAGTTTGAATACGATATAAAAGTGGTGTCATTTCTCAAAACCCTAAAAAAGATCACATACTTCATTTGCAAGATAATCGTGGAGACAACAAAATGAACTCACTTTAGATGTTATGCAAGATGCAGTGGAGTTATTTCATTCCATCAGCTGCACAAACACAACCTTCCTCTCTGCCTCTAACGAATCAAGTTTTTGCAAATACCCCTAGACATAACAAAAATAATCCCAAGCTACAAAAATATGTAAACTAGTCCATGGCATCAGGTTGCTGTCATCAATGATACAAAATTATCACTAAAACATCATTTTGCTAGGTTATCTTTTAATAATCATCCAATAAAATCATCTCTCATGGTCATAACTTTTTAAAATGAAGAAAAAAACCAATGAATAACTCCCAAGAAGACTTGTTTCATTTATCCTTTTCTTCGTTCACTTCTTCGTGCGCATGATGTTTTGTGTTTTGTGGTTAAGCGCTGCCAGTTATCCTGAGATGGTGATGTGACTGCAATTGAACAGGGGTGCCAATGCTTATGGTATAGTGAGTCGTTCAATAGAAGGGATTTGTGATGGGCCTGTCATGACCTATACCCAGATGCTGTTGTTAAAATCTCCTTAGATTTAATCACGTTATACTAAATACGAGTATTATATAAAATTGGATTTCTCAATTTTGGGATCCAGAATCCAAACATCTTTATGTTTAAATCGATAAATGTGACTGCAAAGATTATGGAGTCTAAATAGACATATATACCCTGACATAACTTGTGAGATCCTATCATCCTACGTTATGGGCATGTACATATTTATTTATAGTGGTAATAATTACCAAAAAAATAAATAGAAAATAATGTGGTTGCATGGTGAAACTAGCGTATACCATGAAAGTCTCCTATAGCAGCTTGTTATGACTAAAGGTTCTTTTTCAAGATTAAATATCGTCTATTATGGACCAAGTCTTCTGGTGGTGACAGACAGAGCAAGAAGTCTTGCTTCAATTTAATTCTCAAAGGAGTTCACAAAATAAATATAATAACAAATATAAACAAACTGAACTGCTTATTGGACAGAAAGGAGGGCCACAAGCTTGGGAAGTATTTTTGTTACACATAATGAATCTATTTAAAGAGAAACAATTACGGAACATGCACATAATATATATTTGGCATAATGTTCGACATGATTCTACATTAAAAGGAAAGTTAATAAAAATGTAATTATGGAGATTCAATCATTCTATATGGCATATGCATCTACACCATGGTTTGCAGTTGTAGACGCAAACATGGACATGGGTACATGGGGTAACAGATACAGGACCGTCTCAGGCACTGCAATCGTGAATTTTCATTAAACTCGCACATAGGGCGTGTTATGCACCAATATGTAAATTTTTACTTCACAATTCCAAATTTTGATTTTTTTTATTTTTAAAAGATTATTTAATACAAGTAATGACTTATACATGAATTTTAACTTGCTGGCACTAAAGGCTTAATAATTTAGAATTTTTATTATATTAAAGAAAAAAAGAGCTAGCCCGGTGCTTGAGGCTCCTGCATTTGCAGGGTCTGGGGAGTGTGCCTCACCTCTAGATGCGCAGAGGATGTTCCCGTTTTAAACCTTCCAGTTCACGGTGGAGCAACCTCACCGTTGTGCCAAGCCAACACTCATTCTTTATTAAATTAATGGGTACTATATTTGTTTATACATTATATGCCTGTGTAATATGGAACAATTTTCCAAACACTGCACATTCGCTTTAAAGATAACCCCACCATGATTAATAATTTAATATACAAGCATCGTTAGTGACTTAGGGTTTGCTAGAAGCCTAAAACCAGTTGTCATCATAATTAATCTCTCTCTCTCTTTCTCTGGTCCATAGCCAAAAACAGATACATCTCAAAATCACCGCCATCCATCACCCAGTGCTCAACGTCGTCTGATCCATAGCCAACACCAACCTCGGCGAGTCAATTATCAACTCACCTAGTGTATAACACAATCAGATTGTCCTTGATCTGTTAATGGACTGTCCTTATTGATTCGGTGCCGAACTCTCCAAGTCTGCAAGCCGACGTGGCTAAGTCAGGCACAATTTGACCGAATTTCTCTGGCTCCCTACCGCTATATCGGCTGGACTCAAAACCTTTTCTTTGAATTTACGGCTTAGAGAGCTCCACATCAATCACTTTTATATATATATATATATATATATATATCAAAACGTCGTCATTTAAGACAATACAATGAATATGATCCATCAATTACCTCCATCGTCACCTCATGCTTTCCCCTAAACACCACCGATACATTAACAACTTGTCAACGCTGATCATGCTCCAGCACCATCAACATCAATAAATGCTCTTACTCAACTATTACCACCTTCATCAATATCTAAATGAACCTAGCGCTACTAACCCTTATATATAAATGTGTGAAAAGATAGTGCATATATACACAAATTCAACACCCTTCCGTTGGTGCTGAATTTGAACGGTTTGATGAGGTTTTGAAGAAAGTTTTCAACTCCAAACGTGATTGGTGTCTAGTCAAATAAAACATTAAAGGAGTTGGTGTAATGAGACTTTCGGATTGGATCTCTTGGGTGGGAACTAGTGAAAAGGAAGCACAAGAAGATGAATTTGATTATTTTATTCCTCGGAAAGGATTTGGAATAGGAAGATGAAATTGGGTGGTGAACCCAAGAAAATGGACTGAGAAAACTAGGGCAATTGAGGTGATTTTCGACATATAGTGGTGAGGAGCCAATGCTGATCAGTTGTTGATAATGTGTTTGCATATTTGTGAATAGATGGCGGTGGTGGTGTAGTTTGGGTTTACAGGGGAAAAAAGAAAGAAGAAAGTAGAAAGAAGAAAGTGAGAGATGGAACAAGGTCAAAGAAATGGCAGAAGCTGAATAGTGATGATTGTGGTGGTGGGGGATGGTGAAGGTGGTGGTTAAATAATGTCACTGTTTGTATTCGAGAAAACCACGTGGTCTTGGATCAATTCCTTTTTCTTTTCGATGGGTGATGTGGCGTATTATGCTGTAGATTAGTAGGAGTGGGGGAAAGGGTAGGGGGATTTAAAAATAAATAAATAAATAAAACCACCCAAGTATAGTTGGGATTCAATTTATAATAATTTAAACTTTTAACTTGAAAGGATCCTAATCCAAGAATCACTTTCCTATATTTTTCTTTATCGAAAGGAAAGGAAAGGAAAGGAAATAGGTAACTAGATTAAACGAGTGACCATTTTTGGAAGAATGAATGGATTTCAGCTGAATAGTGGCAAAAGATCAGGAAATTGTTGAACCAAAATGGAATGAAAATTGAAACAGTTGAAGAGAAAAATGGTAAGGGATGAGTTAATGGCACCATGGACACTAAACTAACCAAATTTCAAGCACGTGACAGTGGTGTAATGAGAGAGCAATTATGTAGAGGAGACTGGCAAAAAAGAAGAGAAAAGGAAATGAGATACAATGGTAACATTTAGGAAATTTGTGATTTTCCATAACCATGTATGGGGCCTCCCTTCTGCTATACAATAGAGTGTCTTTAGAGAAAGAGAAGAGGACCCCAAAAAAATAGTGCAGAAACCAAAAAGAAAGAGGAGAAAAAAGGACTGATGAACTGATGGACTGGCCCTTCAGCAAAATATAGTGCAGAAAACAAGTTCACAGACCATTGGCCTGTTGGTATTCTACTATGCGAATACACAATGACACATGGAGTTTGTAAGACATATTTATTGGCAGGAAAAAGCCCTAACAAAACTTACAGCAATCACACCCACATTTGGTTCATTCTCACTCCAAACCATTTACCAATATTGAAGTATCTCCACATTCTCCCAACACTGTACAGGTTTTCTGCACACCCAATAGGTTATGCACAAGTGCCAATTTATAGTGATTTAATACACCAACCCTGTGGTAATAGAACACAGTTTGATTGCAATAATCATGATAACCAACACGGTTTGTAGCAAGTATGGAATTGTGAATAGATTTAGTACACTGACTGCAATAAATGTCAAAAATTAATGTATTCAGGCTCATTTCTGGTGGAGAAGGACGGGTTAGGATGTGTATCTAACAATGGCATATATATGCTTGATGGATCCCCTGTTGGCAATCAGTTGACTGTTCATTTAAAAAACTGGCTACTGGTGTATAAACCTCGGGGAAAGGAAGAAGCAATTTCTCTTAAAATATTTTTACAGTCAAGGTAAAAAACATATAATCCTTTGCGCTCTCTTTAGAATGAATACCTAACATGGCATATAAATGCTTGATGGATCCCCTGTTGGCAATCAGTTGACTGTTCATTGAAAAAACTGGCTACTGGTGGATAAACCTCAGGGAAAAAGAAGCAGCAAGTTCTCTTAAAAGGTTTTTACGCTCTCAAGGTAAAAAAAAAAAAAAAATCCTTTGCGCTCTCTTTTTCACATTATTTAAGCATGTCTTATCCTGTTTAAATTCTAAATGACTCTCTCTTATATTGAAACTATTTAGAAGTGTCTGATGTTTAATGATTTGCTTCATATGCGGAAAGAAAAGTCTTTATGATCCTTTCTATAACATGACAAACGGATTTGTGTGTGTTTTACAATTTGCTGGGAAAAATGAAATTCTTAATAAAATGATAATGTTGAATCTGATTGGATTTGAATAGTTGAATGCTAGGTCTAATAGAATTTCAAATGAGTAGAATGCT